TAAAGATCGGGACTGCTTGATAGTTGTGCCAGCGATCGAAGAGTCTAGGAAAGTAGTTGCAGCAGCACAAGGTAGGTTGTTTTCAGTTAGTCTCTTGAAAAATGGAATAAAGTGAAAGTGGCTTTCCTTTTGTTAAGTGTTATTGAACAAGTAAAAGCTATATTCTGACGTTGTTTTGCATTTGTATAATTTGTGTGCTAGCTAAGTTTAGACTAATGTCCTTTTTGCTACTTGAATGGTACAGGTTTTGCATTTAGTAATCTGTAAATAGTAATTAATTTTTAAACACAGTAAGTCTTTTACAAACTAATCATTAAAAAGTAACAGTAGAAAAACATTCCTTACTGGGTTATCAGTACTTCAGAGCGGACGTACATCTGATATAAATCCTATATGCATAATTTGAAGTTTATTCTGTAGGTAGGTTTTGATGACTAATGCTAACTGTAAAGGCAGGTATTTGTGAAAACGGAAGTATCAAATATTGTCATGTATTGAATAATCTCACTGATACCAGGTTGTAAAGTGAAGTATTGTAGAAGCAATTGTGTCATTTCAGGGAAGATCAGTAATGCATTTGAGAGCTGAAGGTAATAGTAGAGCACTAGCACGTTTATTAATAGTTTTCATAAAAGATGGATTTCAGAAAAGATGATCTCAGGAAATAACTCTTAATGTTTGAGTCTTGTGAGAAAGATAATTTATAAAATATATAAAAATGGGCATCCCATCCAACATTACTGCTGCCCAAGTTCTGATATCACTGATGAAGCTGGAAATGGAAGATACTTAAGGTGTCAGCTTGGACTTCTTGTGATAGAGAATAAATTTCTCTTTTTTTAATCTAAATCAGAGGAGCAGAAACTATTCTGACACGTTATGTTTGTTGTGTGGTGTTGTTTGTTTTTTTTTTCCCCAGAGTGTTTAATGAGATTGTACTTGTATGTATCTGGAGATGGCAGAAGGGCACTATTGACTACGCCTACAGCATGTGTCTTTTTGTGGGAGAGCACAGAACATGAAAACACATCCTCTTACAAAAATTCTTCTTCCGGGCGTTGGACGCAAATTTTGCCTGATGAGTCAGTCATGTTGCCGTCTACTGAAGAAAAAGAAATTGGAGTGCATGCTGCTTTCATACAAAATGAGGTAAAAAACAAGCCCTAAAGCAGTTATTTAATCTCATCAGTGAAGTAGAGCCACCAAAGCTACAGTGAATTTTGAGAGTGATACGTGTCTCTGTTGTGCGTAGGCTTAATTGTTCAGTTCGTGTTAGATTAATGACAACATAAGAACAGCCATACTGGATAAAATCAAGTTTATCTGGCCCAGTATTGTTCTTGCCAGCCTTTATATTACTGAATGACAAGCTTACAATTTTTTAATCTGAAATGTGGTCGCTATTGATCTAAATATATAAATAATTAGAGAAAAAATGTGTAACCAGGTTTTTCAGCTTTTTCTGGTTTTGATATGTTCTTTTCTTTTCCACAGATACTGGGTGATTGCTGTTTGTGTTCTTTTGTGTTTTACTGTGGAGAATGTTTGGTGCTCACCTTTTTGATTCTTCGATGGCATGAAAATAGCTTTAAATATGTTAGGTAAGTTCAAAGACAGCTTAAAAGGAGGAGTTTTATTATGAAGTGCTTTAGAACTGGTATTCAGGGCTGCACTTGAGGATACATACATTGATGTCCAATTAGCCTATGGTTACAAGAACCTTCTTATGTTTGCATATGTGTATTTGTAGCATGCCACTTATATATATGTATATATGGACAATATATGCATATATGATCCATATATGGTAATTTTCAAGTATTTAAATGTGGTTAATGTAACAGCATTTATGTATGTATTGCATACTTCATTATTAACTTACACCTGAATAAAACTGAGTGTATTTATCACTGTATGTGGGTGGCTATGTATACCTACACATGCCTGCACACACGTGTGTGTTGATGTCAGGCATTTTTTTTGCATCATGCTAATAGAGATTCCCTTTCTTGTTTTTATTATATTATTAGTGTGTGCTGTGCAGCCATGAATGCCATGAATACCTCTTTCTCTTCTTTATTATGCATATTTGTATATTTTTTATTTGTTTACTGTTCCCCTTTTCATCTCCTATGCCTAGACTATGTAGGAGTGCCTGTGTGTCTGAGTGTGTGTTTCTTTGTCTGGGCTCGGACCATGTGCTGAAATAGTTATACTGATACAACCACCTAAAAATGCAGTTGAAGAATAATCCTGAGTACATGTGTAGTCCATTCCCCTTCCTAAGTGAGATAGACGTATGTGTAAGTGTAAATGTATGTCGTTTGCAGGTATAACTTGAGTAACCTGCTAAAATTTTGCCCTACACTTGATGTTGTACAACTGCGTTTGTTAAATGATGCCCTTTGGCTTATAACTTTGTAATGATGTCCTCTTTGCCCTCCTGAGTGACGTCACTTTTCACTCAGTTTGTCGTTAGGGTAGTAATGTGTTGCTGATAGTACAAAAAATGAAATGGAGCATAACGTTCCCAATGCAGAAGTGCATATATATACTGTAGTACTTGCAGCCTGAAATTGTAACCACATTTCTGAGCCACGTTACTCGTAATTTCTTCATGCCAACTATCACTCAGTTTCATTGCTCACTATTGTTGAATTCATTTTTTCATGTTAATGCTTTGGTTTTTTTCTGTTAGGTGGCATGCTTCCAAATGGATTCAAAACACAACAGAAAACAAAAGAAAGATTGTTTTTAGTATCATAGAATGGTTTGAGCTGGAAGGGACCTTTAAAACTCATCTAGTCCAACCCCCCTGCTGTGGGCAGCACTAGCTCTCACTACATCAGGTTACTGGAAGCCCAATCCAACCTGACTTTGAACAGCTCCAGTGATGGGGCACCACAACTTCTTTGTTCAGAGCAAGATACTGTTCATTTTCATTTTTGAATTATGAGTATTCCTGTTACGCTGCCTGAGGAAGGTTTTCATGGCTAGAATGCAAATGCCTTAATTATATGGCATGCATCTGCATTTGTTTGCGTGCTCTATACATATATGCTCAAATTCCTGTTCCATAAAAACAATTCTCAGTGCTCAGACATAATGTTTAAACTCCTTTAAATACAAAATATTTTTCATTTGTAAGGTTTTTGAAGAAATATAGATTTATTTTTATTGTTCATGTTTATGTGTTGTTGTGTATGGTTTTTTACTATATATGAATCATCCCATTTAGCATAACTGAGTAACCTCTTGGTTTTGTTGTCTTTTTTTTGGTATTCAGTTCTTTGCCATACCAGATCCACTGGGTACAGCAGACTTGTTCTCTTGTTAATTTGATTCCTCAGTGTGTGTCTGTAAAGTCAAGAGGAGCTTTGCTGTGTGCATTTGCAAGAGATGGACTTCTGATAGCAGTAGCTGTTAATCAAACTGATCCAAAGGTATGACTGATAGACAGTATGTCTTTTAAGTTGTTTGAATGAAGTGGTAACAAGGATTTAATAACACATTTTTTGGAGTGATTTTTTTCATCATTCTGAGTGATCGATGTGATCATGTTGATAGACATAGCTAAAAAATTCTGCCACAACTTGTGATTTTTTTGAATGCGGTTGTTCAGGTAAGAAGTCCGTGTAAGGTTCTCTGTCTTTTCTAATCTCCAAGAAATAAAATGATAATTTATTTTCAGTTACTGCATTGTATCTGCAAAGATTCTGGATGATTCTCAGTCAGGTGTCAGTCTAACATGTATTGGAGGTTATGTTCCGAGTTCATAATATTATTTCTTCTGACAACTCGGAGGCCAAATCTTAATGTAGTTTTTAGTGCTAATAATGACAGGGAATATGGACCAGCTTATTTAGTGTATCAGGATGGGATGATGAACTCCTTCAAAGCTCCAGTTCTTATTCACCAACAAGGCTGGAGAAAAGTGATCTTGCTTTACTTTGAGGGTTTTAGAAAAAGTTATGTTTAAAAGAATATCTAATTATATATTGAGTATATAATAATCTTTCATTATTTTTCAAATGTAGAAATAGTTATAGAAATTAATAAATACTCTAAATAGTAATAAATATTGAAGTGCAATGTCACTTTCACGTATGATATTTCCAGTACATTGAATGCAATGCATACCTTGCTAATACGGGTTTTTTTACAATGACATTTTGATACGGGTTTTCTTTACCTTTTACTTTTTCTTTCTAGGCAACTCAGATTTTGTTTTTGAACACATTGAATTTTGTAACTGTTTCGGGTAGCCTTAAAGGTTGTAGCAGCAAGAATAGCATGGTCCCATCCAAGTTTATCAGGTGAGTAACTGATGTTATTTCTACTGGTGTTGTGGATTTTTTGGTTTTGTGTTGCATGTTTGGTTTTGGGTTGGATTTTTTTGAGGGGTGTGGTGGAGGTGTGAGTTGTTGGTGGTTGGGTTTTTTTTAAACTATCCTGACGTTTTGATACAGAGATTTGACAGAGAAAAACATTTTTTTTTTTCCTGCCCAATTTAGATCTTACTGGGTTGGTGATATGAGTTGGACTCCTGATAGCCTTTTCTTGGCTTGCATGTTAAAACGTGGATCTTTGATTTTATTGACATGTATGGGTGAATTGCTGACCTTGATTACTTCTGGCTGCTCTATAGAATTTGGCCCAGCGGAGTTTATTCCATTTCATCCACTAATAACATATAGGTAAAAAGGGTTTGAAAATGTTTGTACATTTTTGTCGTATGATCATATCTTACTTTCTAACGTATTTTTTACAATTTTACATGAACTTCATCTTTCAAATTTCACTCTTTTGCTTTTCATGTGTCTTCTCAATCTCTGTTTCTCATTCATAGTTCTCTTTCTTATAATGAGTTTGTCATGATGAAAATTGACATTGCGACAATGTAAGTATACATTAAGTGATTTGGTTTTTTAAAAATGTTTGAATTTAGTTATAATTAACATGTTTTTATGATGCAAGAAGAAATTAAAGTTACAGAAGTACTAAAAGTGCAGATTTATTTTAATCTAGTGGTATTTCTATGCTCGTTATTTAATTTTACCTATAGCACTTTTTAACACATTTCCCTGGCAGATCTTGTAAATAACATATTTGCACGGATAAAAACCAGTTAGCTTTTAGCTTTTTAAATGGGTTTTTTTTGGGTACTCCAGACCTAAATTTTGAAATTGTGCTGCTGGGTGCATGGGGGAGTAGAAGGATCTCTGATGACACTTTTTAGCATAAATTGAAAGTTACAAAAATTACATAGTCTGAATAACTAGAGGAAACAAAATAGAATCTAAACTTTTTTTTTTTTTTAAATCCTATTAATTCTGAGTGAATGAAGCCAGATAGTGTGTAAATGAAAACGTTCAAAGCATTGTAATACCTTCTTACACTGTCTGGTTGAAAAATCAGTTACTAAAGTATGTTAATAATACCTCAGTTATGGTTATTTATTGAGTCTATGCAGCTGATTTTTTTTTTTCAAATAATGATGAACTTTTGCACTATTAAGAAGTAAAAAAAGTCAGTAATTTTACACATTGTTTCAAAGTATTATGGGGCTAATGGTAGAATACATGCATAACAGCTTTCTGGAACTAGTAAGGAGTGATTTCTTTATAAGAAAAGACTTTGTAAGACCTCTTCTGTAAGGGAAGAGCTGGCTGATATAAAATATTTCTGTTGAATGTCTGAACTGATTCTGAAATACTAAGATTCAGATCTTGAGGGATTTTTTGGTTTTCATAATGACTGTATTAGAAGCTACTTAGAATTTAATCTTCAAACACTTGTTATGCGCAGTAAGTGCTAGATAAAGTGTGATACAGAAATTTAAAGTAAAATTGCAAAAAAATACTTCATTAATGAAATAATATACTGAAATCTGTTTTTATTTTTCTCTAAACTGACAAAAGTTGCAACTGCAGCAAAATACTGTCATCTTGCAAGCATAAATAGTGTTACCCAGAGTGCTCATCCTGCAAAAATCTAGACACTTCCTTAGGATTCTGAAGGGACCTATTGGGACAGTAGTGTGAGTGGTAATAAATGTTCTTAAGTTATTTCATCTCTATTCTGTTCATGATAATTACATATAATAGTTGCTTTTTTTTGCTTTTTTTTTTTTTTTGATGTATCTTTATTTTAGACAGCAGCACTCTCTTTGTCGAGACTCTGGTCAGTCTCTTGGTTCTTCAGCTTCTGAAAGTGACCTTATGAGGCAGAGATTCTCTGTCACTTCACATTCAAGATTACCTTACCTCATTGTCTCTGATGGATACATGGTAACGGTGCTTAGACTTCCTAACAACCTTTCACCATCAGGATTTATAAGATCCCTTTTACTTGATTCAACTCAAAGGCTTGAAAATATCCGTCGGAATTTGTTGAACTCCAAGGTAGGATTATGGATTATTTTGTAGGCTTTAAGTAGAAGTAAGAAGTGAAATAGAAGCAAAGAACTTCATATGTGTAAAAATATGTAATTTTTAAAATGAGTCCTTCAGCATAGTTTACTGTGATATTTTTAAATTCCTTTGGATTGTAAAATTGTTTTGAGAACAGTGTTGATCTAGAATAAAATGAATACACAGTTTTCTCTGAAATTTTATCCGTTTGGTGTCTGAGTGACATTTCAGTAAAATGTAGTAAAGGGGGTAGTTTTAACTGTCACTATGTATTCTTTCTGGAACTGTAAAAAAAAAAAATTGGGATTTCTACATCTGTATGGTTGGTTCAGAGCATTGACAGGCTGCTCTGACCAACTCATCCTTGGTTATGCAGAAAGGATTCTGTAAAACTGCTCTTATCTTAGGCTGCTGCTGTTTTAGAGCAGTCAGCAGCAGTCCCAGTGTTTCTGTGTACACATGCCTACTAGGTCATCAATTGAGGTTGTCAGTTAAAGCTTATTTAAAGCATTTTTGTTTATTTTTCGGTCACTTGTAAATTGAACTAAGTCTGGGAGAAGGGAAACCTTTGAAGGAAGAGATCCTGCAGCTGTTCTCAACCAGTTAAGATACAGTAGGTGCTAAGTTCAGAATTTTTGCATTTGCTGATGAAATACAACTTCTCTTCCAATTCAATTTGTATTTTGGATTTTTGGAGCAGTTATGATGGTGTTCGTACATAAGCTAGAAGAGTGGGTGAGGGTTTGAGAATTTAAAGAGATGTATTACTAGTAAGAATGCAAGAAAGCCTTACATATTCGCAAACTTGTAGGATCATTTCGGGGATCTAGAAAGTAGACTCTTTCATCATAAAGCAAAGTGAAGTAGTCTGAAGCTGAGAAAGTTCTGATTTGTGAAGCTTGGTCAAATTACAAGTTTGTTTCTGTGCAACATACGCCTGCTGACCTGTTCTCCCTTTCTGTCTGGGGCTTTTAAACTGAAGCTTTTTACAGAAGGGAGTAATTTCCTTGTTTTATTTAGAAAATGTCTGGTTTGATATTGCTAGAGACAGATAATGTGTTTTGCATTATTGTTATTTCTTTCAGTCTAAAGGAAGACCTCTGTGTTTACGATCACTGTTGTCTTTAAAGGCTAGTCTTCTAAAACATGCTCAAAACCAAAGTTCTATCTTTTCCACCATTCCGAAATTCCTGGAAGAGGACACAACAGAAATCAGTGAGAAAACAATGGATTTACTGGTACTTAATAGCATTTTTCTGCTTATAATTATGCAAATGATGTAACTTTCAGGTATTCTATATGTAAAGAATTTTTTTTTTAAACAATATAGGTATATTTGCTCTTAATAGGTATATTTGAAGTAATTCAAGATTGGTTAAATTCTCATTTTCTTTATAGGTGCAAGGAATATGGTTATTTTTCTCAACTGATACTAGATTTTTACTTCCTAATGTCTTATTTCTTTCAGCAGTGCATTAACTTTTTGAAAAATATGTACTAATCTATGTATACATCAGTTCAGTGTAGTTTAATACCTTAGCTTCACTTCATAATAAAAATGTAACATTACACTACTAAATATACTGGGGCTGTGAAGTATATTAATAAGAACAATAATATTATTATCCATAATAAATAAGATATTTATCCTGAATTTTAGAGGATTCTTACATCAATTCCAGAGTTTCTACATGTCTTTTGGAAGAATGGCTCTGCGATCAAAGTTACCATGCAGGCTTTCCCAACTCCATTTCATGCTTTTGGGTTTTGATTTGTTCTTTGAAGTTTTTGAGCTTTTGTTGAGTGGCTTTTGTATCTTACAGGTATCTGGCAAAAGCACTTCTTCATACTCTGGGCTTCATAAAGGACAGGGTTTCACTTTCTGATGTAAAAATTAATTCTGTGCTTACAGTGTGATTTTCTTACTGTTGTTAAGTAATTTAGCTTCTGTCTGCACAGCTATTCCAAATAGCTGCATTTAGTTTGAGATCTAGATGAAACTGCTGTGAAATAAACTTACTAGCAATTAAGCAAGTTAATGAAGCATAAAGGTTTAGTTTATAAGACTGACTAAATGATGATTCCTGGCAGACTGTGCTCTCTCTCAATAGAATTGAATTAAACTATTGCCTTTTTGTTTGTTTGTGTGTCCAATTTAGGATTGTGAAGAAGAATCAGATGATGAAAAGCAGTTTTACAGTAGTCCTTCCAGCTTATATAGCCAAAGAATCCATTCATCTGTTGGTAAAGCTGATCAAGGCCACTTAGAATTTGCATCAATGTTTGATACTATCCATGCAAAAGACAGTACTGAAGAGAAAGATAAATTATCAGTGGAACTATATTCCATTCAGAAAAATCTCCTTGCTGCATGGCAGACAGGGATTTCAAAAAATACAGAAGAAAAGGATACATTGCTGAATTACACAGTAAACTGCATTATCCATTTTTTCAATGTTCTTCAGTTTGTGAAATGTTCTTTGCTAAACCAGGATGCATCTTTAAACAAGTCTGTGAAGGATACTCACTGGATGCATTGTGTCATAAAATATTTTCAGCAGTGTTTAACTGTCTTGTACTGGCATTCAAGAGCCAGTGTGACTGGGCATGTGGCAAAGCTGACATTACAAACTTTAAAACTGATGCTTATACAGCAACAAGATCAGTTATTCTCAAAAAACCTTTTGGCATGCTTCTGTCTTCTGAAAATGGTTTCTCACACTCTAAGTAGCGTGTGCGTACTACAGTATGAGAATATTTTTGCATCTTCTCAGGGTAATAGTCTTGTGGAACTTGACTCCCTCAGTGTGCCTTTTTTCCTAGTTCTTGATGAAAGTACAACTCAGCAATTCAGCTCACTGAAATCTCTGCTTAGAGAGCCTCCTCAAACAGTAAACAATGATGCAAAACCAGAAAAAAGGTATGAATGATCTTTGCACAGGTTAAAAAAAAAAAAAAGGTATACAGGACAACCAGGTGATCGGGCCCATCCAGCATGGGTTTATGAAAGGCAGGTCCCGCTTGACTAACCTCATCTCCCCCTATGACAAGGTGACCAGCTTAGCAATAAGGGAAAGGTGGTGGATGTTGTCTGCCTGGACTTCAGCAAAGCCCTTTACACAGCTTCTCACAGTAGTCTCCTGCAGAATCTGGCTGCTAATGGCTCGGATGGGTGTACTCTTCACTGGGTGGAAAAACTGGCCGGACGGCTGAGCACAGAGAGTGGCGGTGAATGGAGTTCAATCCAGCTGGCGGCCGGTCACAAGCGATGACCAGGGATCAGTACTGGGGCCAGTCTTGTTTAACATCTTTATCTATTATCTGGATGAGGGGATGGAGTGCTCCCTCAGTAAGTTTGCAGATGTTGGGTGGGTATGTTGATCTGCTCGATGGTAGGGAGGCTCTGCAGAGGGACCTGGGCAGGCGGGATCGATGGGCTGAGGCCAATGCTATGAGGTTCAACAAGGCCAAGTGCCGGGTCCTGCCCTTGTGTCACAACAGCACCAGGCAGCGCTACGGGCTTGGGGAGGAGTGGCTGGAAAGCTGCCCGGCGGAAAAGGACCTGGGGTGCTGGTCAACAGCTAGCTGGACATGAGCCAGCAGTGTGCCCAGGTGGCCAAGAAGGCCAACAGCATCCTGGCCTGTATCAGCACTAGTGTGGCCAGCAGGAACAGGGAG